CAGATCTCAATGATCATGTTAAAAAAATACCCTTTCATGCTTGTACAGTACTTGTGCTTTAAAAAAAGACCTACAAAGCGTTGTTGCATCGTGCTAGTGAAACACCGCAAGCTGGCACGGCGAGGCTCGATGCAAATGGCACTCGATGACCCCAACGACACAAATGATACAAAGTGAAACGCAGCTCATAGTTTTGGCCTCCGTCCAGTTCGAACACTCAAGTAAAACACACTCTTGTCTTCCACACTGTCGGTCGACTACACCGATCTACCCTACTAGGAACACTGTCCTAACAACAACGGCAACCAACGACCTGTTTTCAAACCTTTTCTTCTTTACTTTTGGTGGTTCAAGAGAACTAGACGACGTTTGATTGTGTGGCAACGCCCTCTAGCCGCCTTCCTGATACTAACTTACAGCTTGGGGCCGAACTTGGAGTAGTCCGTCACGCCGGGGGACACATACTTCTTGAAGTTCTCCTGGAACATACCGGCCAGCTTCTTGGCCGTGACGTCGTACGCCTCCTTGTCACTCCAGGCCTCACGCGGATTCAGCACGTTCTCCGAGATCTCGCCGAGCTTCTTGGGCACGGAGACGCCGAAGTTGAGGTCCTCCGAGAACTCCGAGTTCTTGATGGAGCCGTCCAGGATGGCGTCAATGCAGGCGCGCGTGTCCTTGATGCTCATGCGCTTACCCACGCCGTAGCCGCCGCTGGTCCAGCCGGTGTTGACCAGGTACACCGACGTGTTGTGCTTCTGCAGCTTCTTCTGCAGCAGGTCCGCGTACTTGGTCGGGTGCAGCGGCAGGAAGGCGGCACCGAAGCAGGCACTGAAAGTGGCCGTGGGCTCCGTCACGCCACGCTCCGTACCGGCAACCTTGGGCGTCTAGCCGGACAGGAAGTGGTACATGGCCTGGCAGTCGCTCAGCTTAGACACGGGCGGCAACACACCATAGGCGTCGCACGTGAGGAGCACAATGTTGCTCGGGTGGCCTCCGCTCGAGGTAGGCTCGTGGTTGGGGATGTGGTAGATCGGGTAGGACACACGGCCGTTCTCCGTCTTGGACGTGTTGTAGAAGTCCGGCTCCTTGGTCTCGGCGTCCACGTACGTGTTCTCCAGCAGAGCATCGCGCTTGATGGCGTTGTAGATGTCCGGCTCGTTCTCGGCGCTCAGGTTGATGGTCTTGGCGTAGCACCCACCTTCAAAGTTAAAGATTCCTTCATCATCCCAGCCGTGCTCGTCGTCGCCGATGAGGTATCGGTGCGGGTCGGCCGACAACGTCGTCTTGCCTGTGCCGGACAGACCGAAGAACAGAGCCGTGTCGCCGTTTTTGCCCTTGTTGGCCGAGCAGTGCACGGCCATGATGCCGTCAAGCGGCAGCCAGTAGGTCATCATGGAGAAGATGCCCTTCTTCATCTCTCCGCCGTACCACGTGCCACCAATCCCAGCCACGTCCTTCTCGATGTTGAAGGCCACAGACACCTCCAAGTTGAGGCCGTGCTTCTTGTAGTTCTTGTTCTTCGCCTTGTAGGCGTTCACAATGGTTAAGTCCGGCTTGAAGTCCGCAATCTCCTCCTTGGTCTGAGGACGCAGGAACATGTTAATCACAAAGTGGTGCTGCCACGCGAGCTCCGTGATGAAGCGCACTTTCTTGCGTGACGTCGGGTTGGCGCCGGCGTACCCGTCGAACACGTACACCTTCTCGCTCTGGTCGTAGTGCTCGCTCACGGTCTCGTACAGCTCGTTGAACCCCTCGGGGCTCACGGGCTGGTTGATGTCACCCCACCAAATGTTCTTGCTGGTCCACAATGAACTTGTCCTTGGGCGAGCGGCCCGTGAACTTGCCCGTGTCGATCGTGTACGTGCCGTTCTTGACGAACTGACCCTCGCCGCTCTTCTCCTCGTGGACGGCGATCTCGTCGTAGCTCAGGTTGCGGTGCACCTGCGTCTTGGCGTTCGTCACGCCGAGCTTGTCGATGCCGAGCGACGCAGCAGTCGCGTTGGCGAACGTGCGTAGACCGAAAGACGACGAGAACGCCGGCGACGACTGCGCGATCTTCATGGCTCCAAGGCGCTGAACAATCACACATATTCGGACTCTTCTCAGCCTGCTCGCGCAAAAACCTAAATGTGGGAACAAACAAGAGCTGCAATTTGCAGTGCAAGTGCATGTATGGATGTAAAGAGAAAAATGATTGGCAGATGTTACGTAGAGAGCAATAGAGTATGATCGGCTCACAATGATCGGAGCGGAGTCTGTTTTTTCGAAACATAAGGCCGATCCTTTACCTGCGTCTACGCTTGTTTTGAGCCGTTTCCTCACGTGCTCTACGCGTGGGAGTCCTAGACCGATGGGATCTACGCAGAGTATTAGTGACTGAAGTCTCCAAACGCGGCAAATGAAGGAAAGATTCTTCGCGTTGGTTGGCCGCAGCAGCAACTACACCCACGGCGTGACTTACCGGACCAGCACTCGCATTGCGCGGCGCATCGGCTCTGGTACACTCTGTATCAGTGATGTCCTGGCTATCTGCCAACGTCGCTGGACCATACAACGGGAAGCCTGCTTCCGGCCCCACTGCGACAATAGCTGCATCTTCACCATCCGTAGCCGATCTCCGCACAGATCTTTGCTGGTGAACTGGACGCTCAAATCTCTGTGACTGCATGGGAATTCCAGGGCAAGGGAGCCCAGCAAATTGAGTCGCTTTCATTACATGAAAGCAAACCCCAGCTTTGTTCCGGCAGAGACACATGCATGTGCGACCTGTTGCATCTACGATCCATCCACCGGTTGGCATGTTTTCTCACATGATCCTTGCGTAGTTTTCAGATTCGTACGTGCACGCTGACTTAGGTAGTACAGAGTCCTAAAATGTACTGTCCTGGGAAGAACCAGCGGGCTTCTGAGCCACACGCACGAGCACCGAATCTTTTACACGGTGTACCACTTCTGCATCCCACACCTTTTTTTTGTCGGTCCTTCGATACGCAGCAAGCAATCTTTCGACACGATTGCTCTATCGACAAAAGTCATCTTTGATGATACATGCGCAATACGTGATAAATCCAAGCGAACAACGAGTTCGGCAGAATTTGCACGCTGACTGTCATTTACAAGTTTTAAAGTTTTGTGATATTGCTCCAACGGGTTGTTGGTCGTAGCATACCCTGTAGGTGTGTGGTAAACTTGCCAACGCGAAAAGCGAGCCCCCGTAATCCATTGAGAAATAATGTGGTTCGAAACACGCCGAAAACGAGGACTTAGCTCACCAGCGCCGCGCCATGATCTCAGAACAAATTCTCTCTTTCGAATGTACTGTTGTTCATCGCGTGAAAAGTGCAAATCATATAGATTCCTGAAAATCATCTTTACCGAAATCAAATCCAGCTTTGCATCATGCGCATGTTTAAACACACTGGAACCACCATTTTGATGTGTTGGTTCCACGTTTTTTTTTTTTACGTGGAACCAACACATCAAAATGGTGGTTCCAGGAAACTCTGCAGTGCAGGCGTTTTGTTGGGCTCTGTCTGCGTCCATCATGACAAAGTCAGGCGAGAATGGCACCCCAAATTCCTTCAATATGACACTTTTTAAACAGGAAAGGTACCAAACAATATCCTCTTTGCGCCTTTGAGATGTGCACCAGTACACAATTGGCAAGAAGGCTCCACTGCGATCTGAAAAGCCCAATACAGAAACAGGGTACTTCTGCTTCACACAGCTGTGTGTTGTGTCCATGTGCAGTAGCGTAGTTAGAGACGGGTCCTGATGCACTTCAACATAACGCTTTAAAAGCCGCTTGCACGTCACACCAATGCGAAATGGGTTGCCTTGAGACCCCGCGCCGAGAGCAGGCTCCACAACGTCGTCCACAACTTTTGTGTCGCACAATAATAGCAATGCATCTGGGTCTGTTTGCCAAGAATGTGAACGTTCGCTGCCGTACATTCGCTGACGGCAAATCTCCAGCACGGGGTCCATACTATCCGGTCGGTTTTTACGCCGCCATCCTTTCTGATAGTTTTGGACCTGTGCAAGCTGCGGGGTAGATCCGCCGATACGCCCATCCTTATCTCACGACACAAGAATGCGTACAGTGCCTGCGCTACCATAGACGGAGAGTCACTTAGCTTGACATCTAGATAGGACTTCATCTCGGCGGTCAGCTTAGATGCAATGGGGGATGGTGGAGCATCGTCGGCCATCGTATGATCCCCTTGCTCGAATATAATTTTTCCGTCACTTTCTTGACACTCCAGGATCTTATAGCGACAAGTGCATGTTTGTGTTGTAGCTTTGCAGCGTTGTGATTTGCATTTAGTTACAATATACCGCATTTCATGCCATGTTACAGCCAGCTCATCTTCGTAGCGCTCAACGTGATCAATTGTACAGTGGTGTAGCTCACTTGTTGGCCGTGAAAAGCTCGGCAATCCTGCCAGAAAGTTATCAAAAGGGACAGGATCACCAGATTTCCACACTTCATGCCACGGAAGACGTCCTGTACGGCCGCCGTGATCATTCTCCATTGTATCGATACTCCACTCACAATGCTGTTAATTTTTAATTTTCTTAGCGAAGCAGAGCGAAGCAAGGGAATTGTGTTTTCCACACCAGTTTTTAGTACCGGTATACCGAAACGGTACCGGTATACACTGCTCCTGCTTGTTGCTGACCACACGTCTCACTTCGTATTTGGAAAAACAAGCAGCAAGCAGTCAAGAAATACCCGCCTCTCCTCGTCCCTTTTCGGATCGAGCTGATGGTCATTGCATAAGCTCTCATTAATGTATTTGTTCGTTTGACCCCCAAGGATTGTGGAAAGCTCTTAACTATTTTAGTAGTAGTGGCTAACGATATCTATTTGTGGAGAGAAAAGATTTTTGCGAAACGACACTTATTTTTGGTGTGGTGTCCTGCTCTTTCTTTTGGTGACCCTTTCTGCGTCTGTGGCGCTCCTCATCCTATTTTTTGTGTTCGTTAAAAAAAAAGTGTTTAGGATGGCTCTCTCAATTTAGGTGCCGACACGACTTGCATCACCACTTGAGCTCGGTTCCAACAAAAGGCGGCAACGACTACGAGCAGTGGCGGATCTACTTACAAATGGAGGCTGTCCCCCCATATTTTTGGTCTAGAAACGCCCCTGACTACGAGCATCGGTTTTTTTAAACCGCGTGGGTAGCGCTCGAGTGTTCTGCCATCTACTGCTGTGTTTGCTGCTGTGCAGGCACTCGAAGCTTCGTGTACCACCTCGGGGTGCTTGAAATGCTTGATGAGGAGCCGGATGCTTCAGATGCAGCTCGGACGGAGTTCAACTCGTCCGTTTGGCGCTGTGGGGTCGGCGGTTGGGTCATTTTCGAGGCTATAGACGGCGGTGGAGAGGCCTTCGCAGATGCAGATACCATCAGAGAGGAAGTTGGATCAACAGTGCCGACAGCATCTGATGGTGTCGTGAAATAATGGTTTTGTGCCACTTGAAGCTTGTAATCTCCAAGTCTAAGCTCTTCCTGGTGGTTGTGGGCTTGGATCTTGCCTCTAAGCAGTTGAACTGTGGTCTTGAGCGCACTGAGATCTCTACGACAAGACAGAAGATGCTTGAGTTGCTGCTGCAGTGACGAGTTTGCCTCCTGGGACTGTTGAAATTGAGCTCTTAGCTGCTGAAGCTGCGACTGGGTCTCCTTGTATCTCCGCACTGCACTTTGAAGCTCTTGCTCTCGCCGTGTTAACTTGTCGAGCTGGAATAGCAAACGCATCTGAGTACAAGCGGAGCTAACATTTCAACGTTCTGAACCCCCTACCAGATACGACTGAGGCTGGTGGAAAGTCACTAGTTTGGCCTTTAGCTCTGTGATCTCTCGTTGGAGTCTCGTACGATCGCTTGTCGCCTCGTTCAGCTTTTGCTCGAGCGCGATCGCTTCTCGTTGCGACTTGACAACTTTCTGGGCGAGTAGCACGCTCTGCTGGAACTGATAACAGAGAGATGAAAGTGATAAGAAGTTTCTGGCCTTTATTCGGACTCACAGTCAGCCTTACCCGTCTCTTTGTCGTGGTCGGGATCGCCTCAAACGTGGTCATTGCTTCTAGCAGCTTCAAAGAAGGTTCACCTCCATCTGCATGGTTCCCTTCGCCTTCAGCAGCGATCTCGCCGGTTTGGACCACAGCCCCGTCCAAGTCAATCTCTAGTAGCTCGTACTCCTTCAGCTTATTGTGCTGCGCCACCAAGCAAGTCGAATATCGATCAGAAACGTTCAGGCCGAAGAATTAGTTTAGTTGAGCTCACCTCAACTTCCAGAGCGGCTTCTAGCTGGGTGATACGTGTAGTCGATGTCGTTTCCAGTCTCGCGAATTCTTCTTTGTGCGCCTCCACCTGCAGCATTACATCATCAATTTTAACGCACCAAACGCACACACGTGAACCTTACTTTCCGTGCAAGCATTTCGATCTCCAGTCTGGCACTTCGACCATCCCTAGCCTTGTCCTCTAGCGTCGACTTCAGCTGGCTTATCTGAGGTCGACAGCAACGATGAGAATATCAGTTCCAGCGAATAAAACTCATCTCATCTGCGCTTGCCATGCCTCAAAATGCCTCATCTTGAGCTCGTTATGAGCTGTAGCCATTGCTGCCGTGTGCGTACTCTCCAACCGAGTCGCTTCCAGGATCTACACGCAGGAACAACAGCTCAAAATGTCTAAAACATCACCTCTATCCTATGACAACGTTCCTTTTCATCGAGCACAGATTGCACGCTATCCAAGCGCGCTTGAAGCAGATCCACATGCTTCAGAGCGTCATCGCGGGCTACTTTCAACAGTCGATTCTCACGCTCGTAGACCACTTGGCCGTCATTGCGGATCCGCTCGATCTCCCGTCTCGATAACTCCATGAATTTGGCAATTTCGTCGTCTAGTTTCTTTTCAAAATGCAGTCTCGTCTCGTTCTGTAGCTGCACATTTTGACTGAGATTACCATCATGTTTTTCCCGCAGCGACTTCACTTTCGCCTGCATTTCCTGTTGTAATATGTACAGTTTTGCCACTTGATCTTCCAGCTGCGTCTTGGCGTCCTGTAGGAACGCTTTATCGGCTGTCAAGAGCGCAATCTTCTGGTGTAAACCGCTGTCGCTAGCTGAGACTTCATCGAAACTCGACTGGAGATCGTCGTGCTCACGCTGTAGCACTTGCAAATCTCGCTTCAGACGTTCAGACTCCTTCTGGAAAACTCTTCGATCGCTGTAGATCGCCTCGTTATGCCGCTGTTCTTCCTTTATTCCGTCAATCTGGTCAACCAACGCTTTGATTTGGTTCTCCAGCTCCAGTCGGGTTGCCTCGGACAGCTCGAACTCGTGCTGCAGCCTCCTCTCTTTCGCCTCAGCGATACGCTGCAATCGCGCAATCTCATCTGACGCACCAGCAGCGGCGGCTTTATCTGTACTGCTTATCTTTCGCAGAGTTTCCACCTCCTGTCGACAGCGTTCGAGACTGGCAATGTGGGTTTTATCCATCCTAAGTCGCGTTTGTGCAGCCATTAGGTCCGTTCGAGCTTGCTTCAGCTCCTTCTCAAGCCCATTTCGTTCCTCACCACACTTAAGCTGCATGCACAATTCATAACAGCAACAAACATAGTTAAGTTCTACCAGCTATGCAGCAACACCCTCCAGCTTTCGACCATAAACCTCCATTTCGGCCTTTTTGGCCTGCCATGCAGCTCGTTCTTGTTGCAGCACTTTCTCCAGCTCCTTCTGTGCTTGTACACTCAACGTCAGCTGCGTCCTAACATTCTCGACTTGGATCTCATAGAACTGCTTCATAACAGCCTCCGATGACGCGCTATTGGCCCCCATGGTAGCTACTCGCTGTGGAGACTGTTGCAGTCTGTTAGTCCTACCAGAAGGTACTTGACCGGGTGACAATGCTGTTAAATGATCATCAAAGCGAGAGATGCCGCGTCCTGTGGGTAGCTGGTCGTAGTGTCCGAACGAGTGCGGGAGCGACAGGTCACTAGACAGCCCCTCGCTGGCTGAGTCAGACGGAAGAGTTAGCGAGAGCTCTCCAACATTTCCCTCCTCTTCCTCGTCGTTTGGTCCCTCGATGTCGATCTCCTTGTCTACCTCATGGTCTCCGTCTACGCCTTCGCGCTGCTGCCTAGCCGCTTCGACGCCAATAGAGAGGGCATCAAAGGCTTCTGCTGTGTCTACCGGTCCTAAAACGTGTCTGGGGACACCTAACTGCACTGCTAAACGGCGAAAACGCCGATCCTCGTCGGCCATAGCAGCAAGTGATTCACGACGCTTTAAGATCCTGATATCATTGTTGACAGTTCTGAGATGTGATCAACCAAACGTATGAGATATCGTAGGTCAAATGGAAATAGGTCCCTTCCGTCGGCAATTTCCAATTCCTCCAGCCCAAGCCGCCCCCCATCTAGCCATGAGCCACACGCCACCACCGGTATGCTGCTGTCGAGCTCAACAATTTAGGTTGGCCATAGTGCGTGTATAAGTATTGATGTTTTGAATTGTTTGTTGTATGCTGCTGTTCAGCCTGCTGGCTGGGTGCCTCCGCCTCAACGCGATACGACAGCGCATTGCTTGACGTTTCCGCATCGTCCTCGCACCCCTGAAAAAGTTGGACGTTTCCGCAAGTCATACTTCTCCGAACCAGGCGCCCGTATCGCCCATCCCGGTCTCATCAATGATCTAAGTCGAGTCGACCCCATGTCCAAGTTCGGCGAAGTTACTACTGGAAGTGAGCACGTACCGGAGATGCTTGTCAGCGGACCTGCCACGCAATTCCAGCGTATTAACCTCGGTAAGCTCGAGTCCAACTACGCTAGTCATAAACGAGAGCCACTCGGCAAATCTTACTCCAGAGGCCACAAACTACCAACACATACGCAAAAAACCGAGTTTGCGTTTGGTATGAAGGGGGCATTCTGTGAATCTGCTAAGGAGCTACTCCATCCTTCAACATCTGCTAGACTACTGAATAAACGGGAGGATGAAGAACGCTACAAGCGATCGCACGGGTCGGTCGCCCCTGGTGAGCAAAAGAATCGAAACTACCGATGGGAAGCAGCAAAGATCGACCGAGCCAGACACCGCTTTGGTGTCAAACCCATCAGTAGTAGCAACGGCCAGATTGGCGGAGAGGTGGCTGAGATCTTAAACCCGGAGATGAACGAAAGTATCATCCCTCCTGCTGTCGCACCTCAGCATCTCGAGGATCGACGGACACTCTACGATCACCTGGGCAAGCCTAGACATTTGGGCGCTGCCGAGACCGACACTTTGCCCACCAACCACGTGTTTGGAATCATAACGCAGAATAGTGATTCTGCCTGGCTGTGTATCCAGGGAGAGTACTCACCTGAAGAGCAGCAGCCAGATCCAGACCTGGGCCGCGCGGTAAATCATGGCTGGAGAAATACCACAGCAGACAATCGGTTGTTTGGTATCCCAACAATTCGCAGTGACATTCCAGCGCCAGCACGGCGATCAGTTGCTGATGGACAGAACTATGGGGATGATGTTAGTGCTCAGGCGTTGTTGTACCCAGAAAAATTCGCTTCAAGTGGCGTGGCTAATGCCGAGTTTGCGGAACCACGCGACCAAAAGTATCTGCGAGGACTCTTTCAGAAGATCGGCCATGAAATTTTAGACGAAGACTTTAAACTCATTTGGAAGCAAGCCACACAGAGCGTGAGGTACACACCCATAGGACTGGCAAGCATCGCTGACTTTCGCGACGCACTTAACGCCTTCATCGAGGCGCAGGGACGAGGTCCAGCAGCACTTCAGCAGTGGCTGAGTCGCGCCCAAGCCTTGTAGAGGATATGCTTCGTATAAAACAATACTTAGTAGGAGCTTTCCATTATTAAGTGCCAGCAACTGTATCTCTCGCTGATCTCCCTCATTTCTTAACTTGTCTGCAAGTCCATCGGGGGTGGAGCCAATACAGGGCCAAGGTCTCCGGAGATCGTATTCACGCAGGCCCAATTGCCTTCAAAGTCGCTCTTCCACATACGCACAGTGCCATCGTCACCTGAAGAAGCCAGCATCGTACCAGTAACGTTCCACTCCACGCGCCAGACTTCCGAGTCGTGATGGTGTTTGCGTGCCACCTCCTCTACATCTGCCTGCAAGTGATCATCTTCCTGAATTGTTAGACGCCAAATACGCACGGTACGGTCCTTACTGGCGGTTGCCAATAAGTGCGACGTGCGCCCCATATTCGGAGCCCAGCAAACGTCGTGGATGGCGTCTGTGTGGCCTACAAGCTCCGCTACGACCTGCCACCGGCGGTACGAGTTGTTGTATCCCCATACTTTGGCCACCTCGCTGTTGCCGCCTACGACGATCATTGGGACATCGAATCGCGACTTATTCCACGACACACACGTCGCCCCGTCCTTGTCAGCTAGGAACTCCTCCTGCAGCGGCCAATGCGATAAGTTCATAACGTCGATGGCCTCGTACATACGCACAAAGCCGTCCTCTGATGCTGTCGCCTGTATCAGGAATAAATATTCGCTCAGTACCTGCTTATAAAAGTCCAACACTCACGGCCGACCTACAAGCCGCAGTCCCAGATGCCTGGGGGCGAATTTAACGTCGTGTACCGAGTCCCGGGCGTCCACTAGCTGCGCTTGGTTGCGCCATCCTTCCTTACTGCCGGAACTGGTGGATGGACTCCCCCCATTCGTGGCCGCTGGGTCCGTGGAGGACGCTGAAACGTTGAGATACAAGCCCTGGTCCTCCCAAATAGACACTGTACGGTCGAAGGAGCAAGAAGCCAGGATCTGGCCGAACTCTGGATGCGCCCACTCCACCTTCCATACACTGGCCTGATGCGCGTTCCACTCGTACTCAAGGCGCCAGTCCTGACCGTGCTCCTCCCAGATTTTGATCTTGCGGTCCGAGCTGCACGTGGCTAAGCGCTTCCCGTAGAAGTCAAAGCTCATGTCGTGCACGAAATCCGAGTGCTGCGACGGGAATCGACGGAAGATTTTCTGGTGCAGACATGGAGACACACAAAGTCAATGGGGCAGAGCCGAGGAGGACGTGCAGCAATTTACCATTGCGTTCATCCTGCTAAGTTATTAAAAAGCTCTAGGAACAGAAAACCTCTTTGTAGTTATATCCATCGGGAAGCCACTTTATTTCAATATACGGAGGAAGAGCTGTACCATTACAAGGGTACCATCGCCGCAAGTGTGATTTACTCAAGTCAGCAGATCCACTCTCGAAGGATTCTGCCGAATTCTAGAGCAGATTATCTATGATGTCCGACAAATATTGTGGGTCATTTAGGTGATCGCCACTAGCTTCGACTATCTTCTAGAACGATAGCTGTCGCTGCGAATCCATGCGAATTATATAGTCTTAACCCTTTCGTGGTCAGCCGCAGCATTTTGCCGCGGTTGACATGTTTTCAAAAGAGGGTGGGAAAACGACCCTTGTTTATCAAAAGAGGGTGGGAAAACGACCCTTTAAACGCGGCATTTTGCCGCGTTCTACAAAATCCACACCTAGTTTGTTTTAGCCAGTCGGATCTTCGGATTTGGGCTTCCAATACAAAACTACTTCCTGCTTATAACCTTTCAAAATCGGCTGTATCAGGATTAACATATTCAGGAGGTGATGTCTGTCTCACGCAAATGTGGTTCACACTAACTGTTTGAATTTCGAATCCTCCCGCCAATTGCATCATTGCACGTCTTCGAGCAGAGCAGAACATGACGAAAGGCACAAAAGGTCTCTGGCTAACTATCAACAAGAAGTGCAAGCTTATTGAAAAACATTGTCGCTGTCCCTCCATGACACTGTCCGAATTGGCGCGCTGGGCGCTACATGCGTTCGAGCTTTCGCACCCTCCAGCCGATGCTACAATCTTTAGGGTCCTGCGGGACGCAGCAATCATCAAGGCTAAACTTCAAAATGCTACCACCGCTAAAGGACGGATATCTCGTGTACGCTGCCCGGAGCTTGAGATCCAGCTTGGCGAGTTTGTGATGGAGCGTCGGAGTGCTCATGTCTGTCTTTCTCGTCGGCTCATTACGAAGAAGGCCCAGCGTATTATGGCGAGCCTAAAGCACTATAGGGCTGACAAGTCGATGCCACACAAGGCTCCGGAGGGAAAGGGTATCTACTACGTTGACCAATTGCAAAGAATGAAGTGGGTTGACGAAGCATGGGACGATATCACTCCAGAGACAATTCGCCACTGCTTTATGAAGAGCGGGATAGTATTTTCAGAGGAGAAGGAGAACAACCCTCTGCCCACGCGTCGACACCAAGTGAGAATGAGCGACATTTTATTTGATAAATAAATGTGAGACATTTGCATTGTGATATTACACATTCGGTACATAATTTATAACCTGGGGGAACTTTGAAGGTCCACCCTTTTCAGTTTCTGGGCGGAGTCTGTACAGTCGTGCACCCCCAATTCGGCACCGGTATCAGTCGATACCCTGCCAGATTTTATGATTACGCAAATCGGATGCGCAATTACCTTTGCCCATCACCACCCTAGCAATTAACCTCAGCGGTTTTCCCCTCCTCGCCGAGGGATGACACGCCGCATCGATCAGATTTTAAATTTTGGATCGGACGTCTTCATACAAACACACACTTTGATTTTTACCGCCAAAGACAATGGGACATCACCCTTCCTCCTACATCTCCCACAAAAGCAGTCTTTGTGCGAGAAGCACAAGTCAGATCCTGCATGCTCTCACTCCGAACTTGCTCGTTGGGCAACGGAGCGCTTTAAGACCCCCCAAGCAGTAAAGTGTAACGGGCCTAGAGTGTCCGTTACTAGCTTACACGTAATAATGAGGAAGCGTGCAAGTTCCGCGATAGTGAAACCAAGTGCTTAGTCTGAAGGAAAATCAACTCTGTTTTTATTTAGGTCCAGGGCAGCTTGCCCTGACCACTCAAATACACGTCAACCCCTTATTGGCTGATAATGGGTCTGGCTCCCCATATATCAACCAATAGGATGACGGCAGTTCAGCACACGCTAGCCGTGTGCTGCTGCACCTACTTTTGTAATATAAAGCTACCTACTTATGTAATGGTGTGGCCCACTACATCACCCCCCTCTTAAAGTTGCACTTACGCAACATAAGCGACGGGCGGGGAACAAATCAATCAAAAGGGAAACGAGAAGAAAATCGTGGCCAACAGGAACGAACGAGGCGGGGACGAGACAGATCCTGCGCCACGCAGGAGAAGTACAACACGACTTGCACAGCAGACAACAGGAGCGGACGATGGAACAGCAACAGCAGCAGATTCCAGCGACGGCGACATCGCTGACGAGCGCGACGACCGCGGCACGCGGCACCCGCGTGATGGACGAGGCGCTGAGACCCTGGCCCTTGTATGGCATCTCCGGAGCGCAAGATCCGGAGTCTCTGGACGAGATGAATGAACTCTTCCGGCGTTTTCGTGCGCTGCGCCAGAAGCCGGTGGACGGCGTCGACCACAGTGCGCTGCAGGAGTCGTGGTGCGCCTTCATCCGGCGCTGGAACCGGACGCAAGCGCAGGAAGAGAATCTCGTCGACTGGATCGCATACCGGGAAGAAATCATCGGGGGCCATTCCTTGGGCGAGCTGCGCGTACGAATCTGCGACAGCACTTGGAACGCCGACGACCGCATCTGTTACGTGCGAGTTGCTGAAGGCTGCAGGAGGTGTGTGTCGTCTCGCCCGACTACGGACGAGTGGAGAGCCCATGTCGCCGAGCATCCGCTCAGTGATCGCGAGAACGCCTGGATCCAGCGTTACCGTCGCTCGCTGTCCGAAAAGGCCAGCGCCGCTAGTCGCGCCGGCTCGCGCCGACACTCATCTCGACGAAGCGCATCTCCGCCGCTCCGTTGGGATTACGAGAACTCGGGTCGTCGTTCTCGGTCGCGCTCGCGCGATCGCCAGCAGCGTCGTTCTCGATCACGTTCGCGTGGTCGTGTAAACTGGAGATCGCTTTCTCGGCCGCCGCGTGATTATTAACGGCGCTCTCCGGCGCAGGAAGACTGGAGTCGTACTCTTGGATCACATCTGGGACATCGCGAGGGAGACTCGCGCGGGGCTCCCACGTATCTTGGTCCGCCGGAAAGCCAAGCCATCGTATCCTATAGCGGCGCGCGGCGGGAGCCGTGCGACTGGTGGACACATGGCGCTGCCCCGACCGACGGGGCGGGTCTTTGTGATCGACAATCTTCTCGACTATCCAGCGTATCTCGCCAGCTGGGACCGTCCCGCTGATACGACCGACGTTCTGGTTAGGAGCCCGCGAAGAAAGATCTCACGGGGAGCTTCTGGACGGCGTATCAGGAGGCGGAGGAGGCCCAGGACGCGTCTGCAAAGGCCCGTGAGACTGCGACTGAGACTCGTCAGTCGAATCGGGAATTCTTGGCGCGCGTGAGGCTTCTTGAGCGCGCGGTACATGGTAGTCTGCAGAGCGGGACGGTGGAGCAGGCGCCTGGTGTGAATGGCGCGATGGTTCGGCGCGCGCGTCGGGCGGGGCGGCGCTATATGCGCCGGCGGCTCAGGAGACTGAGTCGAAGAAGGAATCGTAGCGGGCAGGTATTGCTTGAGTCGTCCGACGTAGAACGTCGGATGTAGCCGCAGCGACGTGGGGATATCCAGTGTGTAAGCCTCGCCAATAACCTTAGTCACCGTAAATGGCCCAATAAAGCGCGGTGCGAGTTTACTCGCGCCGAGGTTGGTGACCGCAGAGTCTCTGATTCTTGAAATCGACAGGAGCACTCGATCTCCTGTCGCGAACTTTACTGTGTGTTTGCAGCCGCGCTTGTCCGCGGTATCTTTCTGCTTGTCGACCGCCGTCTGCAGTGCGTCGCGGACGTATCGGGTGACTGCTTGGCGCTGGAGGAGGAAGTCTGAGACAGCGGTGTTATCAGCCGGATGTGCCGGTTGCTTTGGCGCGTAGTTCGCTGATGGAGACACCGCGTTAGCGGTGCCGGGACTGATCAGGGCACGATTCGTCCACGAGGCGAGAGGGGACACTGCGTCGCGGGGAGTCGTCAGGGCCTTCCTGGCCTGGGCGTGTGTCACTGCGTTAACAGTCGCTGAAGATGAGGCTGCACTCGAGGAGGAGTCGGCAACCGGTATGGAAACCGGTTGAGGGTCCATTACCGGTGTTGGCGCAGAAGGCTTGTCGGCAACCGGTATGGTAACCGGTTGTGGGTTCGAAACCGGAGTTGTCACAAAGTGGTTGTCGCCTCTTTCACCCCCACCCAGAGTGGAGCCACACGGCGCCGTGGGACGGCCCACGGCGAGGAGAGCTGGAACGCGAGGGTCCGAGCGTTGTTGACGAAGAAAGGAGTCAAGCCAGTCGACGCGTGAACCGCGTTGTTCAGCGCGAACTCAGCAAGCGGAAGGAACGAGCTCCAGCTCGTAAACGACGTCGCATAGCTGCGAAGTACGTCCTCAAGGACGCGATTAACTCGCTCGGTTTGGCCATCCGTCTCCGGATGAGCGGCCGTCGACATCAGCAGCTTTGTCCCTGATAGCTCGAAGAGCTTCGTCCAGAAAGCAGACGTGAACCGCGGATCGCGGTCCGAAACAATGGACTCGGGCATGCCATGATGACGGAAGACTGCATCCACGAAGTGCACCGCGGTATCGGCCGCGGTGATCGTATCCGGGACCGGGATGAGGTGAGCCATCTTGCTGAACCTGTCGACGAATACCAGGACACCGGAGCGCCCGGCGGAGTAGGGTGGGAGGCCAAAGACGAAGTCCATCGACACCGAGCGCCATGCCTCGGTGGCCACTGGTAAGGGACGCAGGGGAGCCTGCGATGACGCGGACGGTTTCACGCGTTGGCAGATCTCGCAGGTCCTCACCCACTTGCACACCACTTATACATGTGGGGCCAGTAAAAGTCGCGCGACACTGCGGCGAATGTCCTCTCACGGCCCAAGTGAGCGCCAAGGGGGATATCGTGGAACTCGTGGATGATCCGCGAGCGCAAGTCAGGATCGTTGGGAACCACTACACGCGAAGCATCGAAGCGATCGATGCTGTACGTTAACAGCCCGTCTTCAATCCGATACCTATCGATCTGATGGCGTGTGGAGCGGGACAAAGC